GCTACCCCACTATAGCCTACAAACATGCATCAGCTATGATAATCTGACACCACTCGGCTCTACGGACTCAAACAAAGATGGAGCTGAGAGCAAGTGGCCTTTAGAGAGAGGAGTGGGCTGTGGCGAGGACCACGAGAAGTCGAAGCGCTGAAGGACCTGCTGCATCATGTGTGACTGAGTCAGGGTGATGGTGCGCCGTGCTCTGTCCCAGGTGATATGCAAGCCAAGATAGCTCCACAGGTCACCCAAATCAGTACAGGTATGTCTCTCCTGCAGCTCCGCCTTCACTAGGGCCAGTGCCTTAGTGTCAGCAGTAGCAAAAACAAAGTTGTTGAGATACACAAGAACATAGCGTGACGGTAGAGAAGTTTCTGTGCGCAGAAACAGCGTAGGGTCAGCAGTCGAGGGAGCAAAGCCAAGAGCCGCAAGTGTAGTCCTCAGTGTGTCATGCCACTCACGATGCGCCTGACGTAGACCATAGACTGGTCGACGAAGACTCCTCAGGGTACTCTCAAGAAACGTCCCAGTGAAGCCAAGTGGGCGGCGCAACCAGATAGCCTCATGAAGGCTGCCCTACAGGAAGGCTGTCGAGAAGTCGAGGGAGTGCAGCTCGTAGTCTCGCTGTGCTGCAACGTGTAGTAGCACCCGAAGAGTGGTCATCTTCAGGGCGGGGGAGAAGGTCTGGAAGAAGTTGACCCCCTCATGGTGACTGAAGCCTTGTGCAACGTAACGCGTCTTGAAGGCAGGCGGAGAACCCGACGACCGTTTCACCATGAAAATCCACATGCCATCGACTATGTTCGCCCCAGGTGGGGAACTGCGTCGACGTAGGTGCCCGTGGACTTCCAAGAAACCATCTCTGCGTCCTAGCTATCTGCCACTAAGAGGAATACGGACCCGTGATCGCGTGTGCGTAAGAACGCGAGGCCGGGATGTCCAGTGCATCCGGGTCTCCCTCAGGGCAATGTAGCGTGGACGCAAGATGAGGTGAAGCGGCCGCTAGGCACTCCAGTCCAAACTGCCTGTCCTCAAGGACGTCACACTCAAAGGCAAGCTCACCCCCGATGGACGGGGGACACGAAGAGTAAAAAGCAAGACTCGCAGCGTAGTCATGGTGGCACAAATCAGCAAAGTCAACAAACTCAGCAACTAAGGCAGACGCAAAGTCAACAAGCTCAGCGGACTCAAAGGAAGGGTCAGTCACAACCGTGGCAAGGAGACGAGTGACAGTCGAACTGGCAGTATGGACAAGGTCAGACTCGGGGTCAGGAACGTGAGGAAGAGAAGACGCAGGAGGCAATGGCAGGACAACACGCTGTGGAACAGAGGAAGAACGAAGTGTCATACGGTGAGTGCCTGGCACAGCCGGAGCACGAGGACGGGCAACACGACGAGTACGAACAGGTGTGGAAGCACGAGTCTCGGACTCACGACGCTCAGTCAGGGACTCAGTCACCTCAGTGCGAGGAGCAGGAGCAGGCAGCGAGGAGCCAGGCAGTAGCTGTGGCTGAGACTGGTCAATCGGTGGGAACAGCAACGGAGGAGTAGTACCAGCAACCGGGAACTCAGTAGCAGCAGGTGGGAGACTGAGAAGGTGACGAAGCGCAGACGGCTGCGGCTGAGTAGTCACACCCCCAGAACCTCAAGCTCCAGTAGGAACAACACCCCCAGAACTAGTATCTCCAGCTCCACCATTGGGACTGCCCCAAGGGACAACCCACTCGCGAAGCTGCTGCGGCGAGAGCGACTCCTGCCGACTAGCACCACCAACTCCAGTACCTCCAGTAGCACCTCCAGCGTCAGCACCGCCAATGCCTCCAACTCCAGGAACATCAGCACTAGCACCTTCAGGTCCAGTACCTCCAGGATCTCCACCTCCAGCACGTCCAGCGCCGCCACCAAGGGTGCCCCAACGGACAGCCCACTCACGAAGCCGCTCCGGCGAGAGAGTCTCCTGCCGACGTGCACCAGCACCTCCACCCGTAGTACCTTTAGCAGCACCACCTCCAGCACCCCCTGTACCCGTAGGACTCGCAGAACCCCCAGTGCCAGCACCCTAGAGTCCGCACCACCAGTGTCACCACCTCCAGCAGCACCAGAGACCACAGCGACGGGCCGTAGAGGCGGTGAAGACGGTCGAGGTGGAAAACCAGGAAGGATCGCCAAGCGCGCGGAGCGGCGAGGGGCCACGGTGTCGGCAGCAGTCGGGTCACCCCCCTCAGCTGGGCCAGAGGTGTCAGCGGAGACCTCCAAAGGCTCAACCAAGGGGGGTGGGTCTACTTGAGACACACCTGAGGGAGCAGGACCGGGAGGAGGGAGGGGGGCTACCTAGGGGGGGGGTCGACAACCAGGGAGAGAGGCGGGAGGGGTACCGGGGAACGACGGTCGGGGTGAAGACGGTAGAAGAAGACTGACTAGTCAAAAGTGACGTCGCGGGAGGACATCACATGTCGAGAGGCTGGGTGGTAAAACTCCGACACATCGCCAACCTCCCCCGTCCATCGCACTGTAGGCGAGATCTGTGGCACGGAGACACGGGGCCAGAGGTTGAGCTGATGCGCGGCGTATCGGACCGCAAATGGCCACAAAAAATGGGGAGCAGCCGCATGGATCATGGAGGTGCGAGCAACCTCCATTGATAAGCCGATGCAACGCTATGCAATCCCATTCTGCTATGGAGAGGCTATAAGCGTGAACGACTGGCAGATGCCCTCAGTACCACAGAAGTCCTCGAGATGGCGGGAGGAAAACTCACCACCTTGGTGAGAGTGCAGCCGCAGGACCACAAGGTCTTGCCGGAACCGAGCGCTAAGCTCAAGAGGGACAGCGCGGATCCAGCGGATCAAGACACCGCGGATCTCCGCTTTGCTCTGGAAGGGGAAGACCGTGGTCTAGCGCGTGTAGTCGTCAACAATGAGCAGAAAGTAGCACTCGCCACATTGTGCAGTGGCGCGGGCGGGGCCCCACACGTCCATGTGGAGGGTATGCAGAGGAGCAGTGGTAGGAGGAAACGAGGAGTGAGGAGCGGCGCGCTGCCTCCCCTCAACGCAGGGAAGGCAGGGCGGTGCAAGCGACCTCGAAAGTGGGGGCAGGGACTTGAGGAGACCAGACACAAGAGACGGGAGTGCATGCCACGCAGGTGTGGCAAGGAGGGCTGGCCAAGAAAGTGGTGCCGGAGGAGAGTTTGGTGCGTGAGGAGATGAGACGAACAAGATGCAGCGACCTCAACCGACGCAGCTCCCTAACCCGACTCAGCCACCAGTGCAGACTCAGTAGTCAGTGTGTACTGAATAGACCCGGGCCTTCGAGTGAACGTGGCGAGGTGCTCGACAGTGTGTGAGTCCGTACGGATCGCCACAAGCTCTCCACCATGCTGGGTGAGAGTGACCCACAAGTCTTGGAGAATAGAAGTAGCGACCAAGTTCTTCGCGAACTAGGGGAGGAGGAGACCTCTGAGGAAGCCGGAAGGGGCCGCCGGACACGGGAGAATAGTAGCGCCACGCGCGAATACGGGACCACCGGAAGGCTCGGCTAGTGTGACAGGGACAAAGGCTGTGAGCGGTGTGACTGTGGTGCTGTCGCGGAAGAAGCAGCAAGACGCGCCTGAGTCGAGGGTAAAAATGTGCAAGGCCTCCTCAGGCTCTGCCCCTGCGCTAGTAGAGTCTAAAGCACCGAGACTAGCACCACCAAGGGCCTCTACACCCCCAGTACGAGTCCCCTGAAACCCTCCGCCACCGGGGTTGCCCCACCGGACAGCCCACTCACGAAGCTGCTGCGGGGGAGAGAGTCTCTGGTGGACGCTGCTGCTGCTGCTGTCCACCCCCAGAACCTCCGCGTCTACCAGCGGCACTACCAGCAGTAGTAGACTCACATGTACCTCCAGTAGTAGCACCCCAGGCTCCGCCAGTGGGGCTGCCCCACCGGACAGCCCTCTTGCGAAGCTGCTGCGACGAGAGCGTCTCCTGCCGACGAGTACGAGGACCGCCAGCACCAGCACCTCCAGCTCTAGCACGGCTAGCTCCGCCACCGGGGCTGCCCCAGCAGATAGTCCACTCGCGAAGCTGCTGCCGCGAGAAAGACTCTTGCACACTCGGCTGCCGTTGGCGTAGAACAGTAGTGGCCATGGCAGTCAGCGGCAGCCAGTAGCAGCAGCGCAGGAGCAGCTAGGGAAGTGCGCGAGTAACTGGGTGCTCTAGTGTGGGTCGCTTGTGGGGCAGGGCTGGGGTGCGCTGACATCGTTGGCAGGGCAGGGTGCAGGCATTAGATGCGGGACAGGGCAGGTGCACGCTGGTAGCGCGTGTAGGTAGAGCAGTCGCGCGCGGGCAGCGCACGGCGCAGGGCAGCGTGCGGGTGGCAGCTGCAGCAGTGGCACGGGCGTGCTAGCAGGGCAGGCGCAGGCAGCGCTTGCAGGGCAGGGCAGGGGCGCGCGGGCGCTGGGCAGCGAGGCGCGCGCGGGCAAGGGGCAGCGGGGGACACGCGGGCGCTGGGCAGCGGGGCGCGCTAGCGTGCTGGGCAGAAGGGTGCGCTGGCGCACTGGGCAGCAGGGCTCGCTGGCGCGCAGGGAAGCTGGGCGCGCAGGGCGCGCGGGGCAGCAGGGCGTGCGGGGGTGCGCGGGGCAATGCGCACGCCAGCGGGCAGGGCAGCAAGACGGGCAGGACGGAACTAACGGTGGGCCCTAACGGTAGGACAGAACCTACTATGAAACCATTTCAGAATACGAAGTTGGAATGGTGAGATTAGGCAGCATGAGAACAAGTAGGGAAACCCTAAAAGGGTTGTACTCTATGTAAGCTACCCCTCTACAGCCTACAGAGATGGAAACACAGTTTGACACAGGGAATATTAAATTCTTACTGGAGCAAAAGTGGGTTCTAAAAACAGGCCAAGAAAAGAGGGGGGACTCACTCACCCCCTCTGTGTACCCATGGATAGTGGTTCCGCTAAACAGGCGCTGACGGTACCCCACACGGGTGTGCAGCACAGTGCAGCTGAGAGAACAGTCAACAGGCAGCAGAGCGAGCCACCTGTCTGAGCAGCAGAGGCACGAGCTGGATGTGTGCTGCCTCTCCCACCTGGCAGTACACCTGAAAGCCTATCGTCAAGTCTGCGTGCTCCCCTCCCCCTTGCACCTCCGCTGTTCTCACAGCGTCTGCCTCCCCGCCTCCCCCTCTCCCACCCATCACACCCTCTGCCATGCTACTGCCCTCGTCACGCCCTCGCCTCTCACTGCTGCTATCATCCAGAGTGCCAGTGGGCTTTCTCTGGGTGGGGTGGTGTGGCAGTGTGTGCCACCAATCACTCACACTGCCACACAGCCGACCACCCCTGCCACAAAAGCATGTCAGCGACCATTCTCCCTCGCCCTCCTCAGCAATACCTCCCTCCTCCACCTCTCCCTTCCCCCCTCCCCTTTCCAGTTCCTCCCCTCCCCCTTCCTCCACTCCCCCTTCCTCCCCTCTCTCCACGCTCACTTCCAGCCCACACAGCGGGAGGCATGCGGCCATGCCGAGCCCTGATTGGTCAACGGCGAGGAGGTGGGTGGCAGTGAGGAGGAGCAGTGGGTGACGGAGCAGCAGAGGCGGGATGTCGGTGCTGGTGGTGGTGATGACTGCCGTGCTGGCGTCCACATGCGTGAGGTAGCTGGGGGGGACACAGGCGGAGGAGACACGGGCAGAGGAAAGGCGGGCAGAGGAAAGGCGGGCAGAGGAAAGGCGGGCAGAGAATGCAGAATGAGAGATGGGCAGTGAAAGCGCTGGCCAGCGCTGCAGAATGAGAGACGCCAGGGGTGGTGGGGGACAGTGAACGTGTGCATGTGGTGGGGGACAGTGAACGTGTGCATGTGGTAACACGGACATGCAGCAAGTGTGCAGCTGTGATGGCGACAACATGCAGACAGCTGTTTCACGATCATGGCATGGCCCCATGCCACCAGCAGCACCATGAGTTTAGGCAGCTGGAAGGGGAACTTACAATGCTTGGGGGCAGCTGGAAGGGGAACTCACAATGCTTGGGGGCAGCTGGAAGGGGAACTCACAATGCTTGGGGGCAGCTGGAAGGGGAACTCACAATGCTTGGGGGCAGCTGGAAGGGGAACTCACAATGCTTGGGGGCAGCTGGAAGGGGAACTCACAATGCTTGGGGGCAGCTGGAAGGGGAACTCACAATTCTTGGGGGCAGCTGGAAGGGGAACTCACAATGCTTGGGGGCAGCCGGAAGGGGAACTCACAATGCTTGGGGGCAGCTGGAAGGGGAACTCACAATGCTTGGGGGCAGCTGGAAGGGGAACTCACAATGCTTGGGGGCGCGGTGGCCACAGAGGAGGCATGAAGCGGCTGGCAGCACAGCGCACGCCCCTCTGCTGCACCTGCCACACCAGCGACACCTGCCACCCGTCACCCTCTCTGCCTGGACCCTCCCTACGAGAAGCACTGCCATCCCTGCTGCCCCCAGTGCAGGTGGCAGGCACGCCACCATGGGCCCCCCTGCCCTCAGTAGCAAGTGGCGCTGCTCTCCCCTCTGCCTCTGCGCCATGTGCCCCTGTTGCACCGCCAACAGAACGAGGCCCCGTGGACCCCGTCCCCGTCGCATGCTGCGCTGCAGCCTGCCCGTTCTGCCGCCTCTCCTCCCCGCCATCACTCTTGCTGTGGCCCCACCTGCCTGTGCCTTCATAAGTGCTTTCTGGCTGGTGCTCCCGCTCATGCAGCGAGTGGCGATGGGAGTGGCGGTAGTGGTGGGGAAGGCGAGGCCTGTGCGCGAGTGAGAGTGTCAGTCGCATGCGGTGGTGCCCCACAGACAGCCCCATACCGCCATGCACCCCCCCACCGCCTCTTCCTCCGCCACTGCTGCCCATTGCAGCAGCAGCACCACCGCCAACTGTCACACGCTGGTTACCACGACCACCAGCCACACCTCTTCTGTTCCCATGTGCACCACCACTGCCGCTTCTATGCCCCCCCTCCCCTACCAAGCCTCTGCTTCCACCTCCCCGTTCTCCAAGATAAGCCTGCCTGACGAGCCGGCCGACACTGGAGGAGAAGCCGAAGAGCGACGCCACGGTCCACTGCGACACGTGGCGCCACGCTGCCAGCCCGCCGCGCCCCACACCCAGCAGCAGCCCGTGCGGCCCCGCGTGCAGCGAGCCCTGCACGGGCAGCAGCAGCAGGTCGCGGCAGGCGGCGCGCACGCTGTGCAGCAGGCCCAGCGGGTTGAGCAGCAGGTGGTGCGAGGCGATGACGCGCGGCACACACAGCACCCCCTCCGTTATGTAGTGCGCCACCACCACACGCGCGAGGGCAGCGCGTGGGGACAGGAGAGGTGGGAGGTGGAGCGGTGAGAGTGAGAGTGGTGTGGCGGTGGTGTCGAGAGGGAGAGGGGAGGAGATGCGGAGAGTGAGGGAGAGAGTGAGGGGGGAAATGCGGAAGCGGCCGAGGTAGAGAGAGGGAGTGGTGGCAAGGGCGATGTCAGGGAGGCGGGGGGGCGGGGTGGAGAGGAGGCGGTGCAGGGCGAGCAGGCGGATGAGAGCCGCGTCTGATGAGGGCAGTGCAGAGGGCACGACAGGGTGCGTGGCCGTGGAACCTTGTGTGCTGGCTTGCAATCCTGATCGGCTTTCACTATCTGATCCCTGCATATGCGTCTTCCATGCCGCACCGTCTGATTGGCTGCTGCCCTGCATGAAGGCGATGGCGATGGGTGCGTAGTGGGTGAGGGCGAAGAGCAGGCAGTCATCAGCGCATGCATCCACGTGACCCACACTCACATGCACCGCCTCCACACTCATCACGTAGCACACCCGCTCCACTCCCTGGTTGCTCTGCACCCTCTCATCGCCCATACTCCACCCGCCTGTCAAACGCTGCGACGGGTGCTGTGACAACACGATTTCCACCTGCACTGCTGCCTGCCCTTCCTCCCCCCTCTCATTTCTATGCCCTGCTGCTGCCTTGTGCTCCTCTCCTTCGCCTTCCACTTGTCTACCCCCTCCTCCCTCCTTGTTCCCTGTACGTCCCGCCTCACCCTTCCCACCAGCAGCTGAGCCAGTGGTGGGAGAGGAAGGGCGGATGTTGAGGAGGAGAGGGAGGAGCGCGCCAGGCAACAGGTTGTGCACCTGCACCGACCCCACACCGCACTGCACCGCATACACCATGCCCACCGCTGCTGGCGCTGGTGGTAAAGGATGTGTGTGCATGCCACGTGGCATGCTGTGACTTGGTGCTCCGCTGTGAGCCCCAATACCGAGCAGCGAGAGGGAGCGAGGCGGGAGGAGGGAGAGCGAGGCGTGCAGGGAGGAGAGGGACACGAGGCAGATGGCTGACGCATCACGGAACAGACTGTCACTCGCATTACTGTCACTCTCATTATTGTCACTCTCATCATTGTCTCTCGGACTGGCATCGTTTGTCTTGTTCCCAGGCAGGTGGGGCGAGGAGGGAGGGCGGCGCAGGTCGTCCCAGAGGACGAGGTGGAGTGAAGGCAGGGCGAGGGAGAGTGTGTGCGAGCGCAGGAGGAGGTAGGTGGTGGGGTGGGGCGTGGGGGGGGTGAGAGGGGTGGACGGGGAGGCGGGGGAATTGGGGGATGCAAGGGAAGGTGGGGAGGAGGGCGAGTGGAATGGGCGAGATGGGGAATATGTTCGTGAAGTGGGGTGTGCAGCTTGCAAGTGGCTGGGAGCAAACGCACCCTGCTGCAGCTGCTGCGGTGAGTCATGCCGCATGTCCTTGGCGCCACTGAGCTCTCGCTGCAGACCCACATGCAGAGCAGCAGGGGGCAGAGGCGCCATGGCAGGGGGCAGAGGCGCCATGGCAGGGGGCATGGGGCGGGCAGGCAGGGACAGAGCGAAGGGGCTGGAAGGGCGAGAGGCGGCATGAGCAATGCGGCACACAGCGGTGGCGCCCTCCCTCCACACACACACGTGCAGCAGCAGCCAGTTCCCCCCGCCCTCCACCGCCCCGCTGCTGCCGCCACACGGCACGTGCAGCAGCAGCTCCCCCTCGCCCTCGCCCTCCCTTTCCCCCCGCCCTCGCCCCACTGAGATGGGCTCGCTCCACTCCTGCGCCCCCTCTGCCCGCACACAGATGCCCCCTGTTGCTGCTCGCCCGCCTGTGCTCTTTTGTGTTATGGGCCCATCGCCTGAGATGCGCTGAATGTGGGCCATGAGGGCATCGTCCGTCTCCTCGTCCAGGTTCAATGCACCGGGTATCAGTGGACGCGTATGAGCATGTGTGTGCTTGCGGTGGTGCTGTGAGCGGCCATGCCACTTGCGCTTCTTGATGGCCATTCCCCCCACCACCCCCGCCTGCATCCACTCCCTCCCCTCACGCCCTCCCTCGCTGCCCCCACTGCCACTCGCATCATTGCGCCTTGCATCCGCAGCACCGCCACTGTCGGCAGCGGCAGTAGCAGCAGAGGCAGCAGAGGAAGAGGGGATGGGGAGAGGCAGGGCGGCAGCATGGAAGGCAAGTGACCGCCCCGCCCCCACTCGCGCTACAAAGGCGTCTGCCTCATCGGCCGCCCCCCTCACGTCCACACACACACCTGTCTCGTTCTCAATGCGCCACGGCGGCTGTGCATCCACGTGCACCACTAGGTGCGGCTGCCACGTGGCGCCCTCTGATTGGCCGGCGGAGGGCAGGAGGGAGGCGGTGAGGAGGGCGGCATGGCAGGTGCCAGAGGGGTCGGGGAGGAGCAGGCGCTGCGCGACTGCGAAGCGGGAGAGAGGCACGGGCGGCGACCAGAGCAGGGGGCATGAATGGGAGGGGCGAGCAGGCAGAGAAGATTCGTCATGTAGGTGCTGGTTGTGCTGGTAGCGCTGCTCACTGCCACACACTGCTACTGCTGCTGCTGCTGCTCCCCCTTGCTCTCTTGCCTCAGCAGCACATGCACGTGCCACCATGCCCAGGCGCACTCCTCCCAGCGCTGCCAGCCGCCTATCCCACCCGTCCTCCCCGCCACCTCCTCTTACCCCTTCGCCTCCTGCCTTCCCCCTCCTCCTACTCTGCTTCTGCTTCTGCCGCTGCTTCGATGCAACACCACCACCACCAATGTCACCATCGCTTCCCTCTCCGTCCCTCTCACTGTCACTCTCACTGCTGCCACTGCTGCTGCTGCTGCTGCTGGAGGCAGAGGAGTCAGGCAGAGAGGGCGAGGAGGAGAGGAGGGGTCGCCAGGGGAAGAGCGTGAGGGGCAGGCAAGTAGCACCGGGGGGACACAGACCAGCGGAGGCAGGCAGGGCGGGAGGGGTGTGGTGCAGCGAGGATGGGCGCAGGGGATGGGGAGGGGCAGGGGGGGGATCATCTAGGAGGAAGTGGAGGGGGAAGGGCGTGAGGTTGGAGAGCAGGGCGGCGGGCAGCACAGAGAGGTGCGTGGTGTGTGAGGGGAGAGGGCAGACAGGCTGAGAGGGAGACGTGGGGGTGGGAGCACAAGGCGGATGGGATGATGGGAGGGGGACGTGGGAGACGGAGAGCAGGCAGTGCAGGTGCGAGGGGCCGTGAGAGCTGAGCGTCACGATGGACACCCGCTCACTGTTGCCCCCACCCCCTGACCTCCCCCCCTCTGCGTCCCCCTCCCCCCGCACCAGCACGGTAGACGACCACGCCCATCCTCGTGGTTCCCCCTCCCCCCCACCTCCGCCCCCCATCCCCCCACCGCTACCCATGGATGCCTCCAACCCTCCAGGCACCCCAAGCCGCACTGACCACCCCCGAGCCTGCCTCCTAGGGTTGGCACCCGGGCCAGATGCAGTAGTGGGGGTGGAACGAGAGGAGGCGGCAGCAGAGGAACCAGGGGAGAATGCAGTTGGCGTAGAGGAGAGGGAGGGGGAGAGGAGGGCGTGGGAGAGACAGGGCCAGGCGAAGGGGCGGGAGTGGGAGGGCGGGATGACGAGGTTGGGGCAGGGGGCGTCGTGCAGGGCGAGGGCGAGGGGGAAGGGCAGGTGGTTGTGCAGCACTGCCACGGGGTGCACTGAGAGCAGCAGCGCTGGCACGGGCGGTGGCAGGGGCGCATCGCCTGGCAGGGCAGCGGCGGCAGCAGCGTGAGCACATGGGTGGTGAGAGGGGCGATAGTGTGATGCTGCCAGCACACAGAGGAGACTCTGCTTTGACAGAGGGGCAGGGGACCGCGCACGGGAAAGAGAGAAGAGACGGAATGAGAGAAACACAAAACGGCTTACTGATCCCAGCGGAAGACGCGTGTGTGATGGTGCTAACGATGCTGTGCGGTGCGGTGCAATGCAGTGCAGTGCGGTGAGAAGCAGCAACTGGTGGATGCTCACCTCGCTATCCGCCTGTGGAAGCCACATGGCATGCCGCTTCCCTACAGCTGGAATCGGCGAATCCCACCGCGACACATCAGCATTGCCTGCAGACCAGTCAGTGATGTCACCCCGGCAGGTGGCAGAGACAGTGGGTGCTTGCTGGTCGGGGGCAGCAAGGGAGAGCGCAAGGGGCGCGCTCCACAGGGAGGCTTCAGCACAGGGATGTGCGGGCGGGTGGAGCGAGGCAGCAGCAGTCCAGGTGCCACTGGTGCCATGGCTGGTTGGCGTGTGTGCTGCAGCAGTGGTGGGGGGAGTGCACGGCAGTGCGAGCTCCAAAGCACACTCTCCCCACATGCCACCGCCCACACCCACCTCCTCTGCCGTCCCCACTGCCACCTCCGCCGCCCCTCTGTCCCGCTCCTGCTGCTGCTCCTGCTGCTGCTCCTCTTGACAGTTCCCTTCCTTCAACCTCTCGTGTCCGTCCTCGCTACATTTCGTGGTGGACGCGCCCTGCAGAAGCAGAAGGCGTGCGCGCAGGGGCAGCGGCAGGGCGTTGCAGAGGAGGGCGGCAGGCCAGAGCTCCACACACAGGGGACCCTGCCAGAGGCGCAAGGGGTCAGGCGCACTGCTGGGGGGCGCGGTGGGGAGTGAGGAGGAGGAAGGGGGAGCTGGGAGGGGGAGGATGGAGGAGGGCAGCATGAGGCGCACCCACACACTCTCTCGCCCGTGTGGCGGCGGGGGGAAGGGCGGGCCTGAGACGGGAACACAGGCATCAGCGGTGAGCAGGAAGGTGAGCGAGCAACCATCACTGCCATCCACCACTGCTACCGCTCTTTCACACTCTGCTGCCGCCATATCTCCCCCTCCTTTCCTGCCCCTTGTCCCCCCCAGCCCCTTCCCTGGGTGGCTCGCAGAGGGCAGGCCAAGGCAGCCGGGCGCAACAGCAAGGGGGGCGGACCAGCGTGCCTCCCTTGCCAGCCACACACGCACCACCACAGCTGCCCTGCCAGCGCCCGTGCCCCTCCGAGGCAACGACTCCTCCCTCTCCTCTGCTGCCTCCGTCTCCCCTCCCTTGGCTCCCCTCACCTCCACGCCCTCTGACTCCTTGCCCCCATTCACCGGCTCATCCCCTCCCATGCCCCCCCTGCCACCGCGCCTCCTCTCTGCCACCAACACGTGCCTCACATGCCCCCTGCCACCCTTTCTACGCCCCTCCAACTGCAATCTGCATGCTTCGCCCTCCCCTCTGCTGCTGCTGCCCCCCACTGGCAGCACGGGGCCCTGCATCTCCACTGCCACTCCCTGGCCCGTCTGATTCAATATAAGCACATTCGGTGTGAAGAGCACGTGCGCCAAGCAGCCATGATTGGGAGTGATGGTGACTAAAATGGAGGCAGTGAGGCGGCGGTCTGGGAGCACAGGAACAGCGAGCAGGAACGAGTGCCGCCCCCCTGTGTCCACCTCAAATGGCGCCGACCAATCACCACGTGCCATGTCATCCTTTTCAGCTGCTCCACATGCATGCTGCGCACTCCATCTATCGCCTCCAATGCTCACCCCCTCCCACCCTTTTCCTTCTTTCCCTCCCCCCACACACTTTTCATCACTCCTCTCTGCCCCTTGTGCCCCATCTCCCTGCCCCTCAATTCCATCTCCCCGCCCCTTTCGCTCCCATTGGCTGACGCGCGCACGCAGCTGGCACACGGCGCCCGGCACAAGCGAGGGTGGGCGGCACCAGCTGTAGCCTAGTGAGCAGCTGGGCGGCAGGGGGATGGCCTCTTGTGTGGCGTGCTGGCCCAGGTGGAGCAACACGGGGCATCTGTTCTCCACAGTGTACCCGAACAGAGGGGGGGATGGGGATGCGAGGAGCGGGGGAGAGGACGGCGCCTGTGATGGCATTCCTCTTGGGCTTTCCTCCGCCGCCCCTTCACCCGCCTCTGCTGCACCACCCCCATCCACCTCACTCGTCCCCAAAGCCAACCCCTTCTCCTCACTCTCTTGCACTCTCCCATCTCCCTTCATCTCCTCCTGCTCAACCTCACCCCTTTTCTCTCTCCTCTTCTCTGCTTCCCCCAACCCCCTCTCACCTCCGCCCACCTCGCCCTGCCCGGTGCCTGTCTGGCTCCCTTGCCCCGTCCATGCGAGCAGCAGGCGCTGCAGCGCTCTCAGGGACGCCGCCCTCACATGCACCGTCGCCCCATGCTCCTCGCCCCCCTCGCCCCCACCCCCACTACTACCCCCCTTGCTGCCACTGCTACCCCCGTTGCTGCCACTGCCGCCTGTGTTGGAGCCCCTGCCACCGCGTCCAGCCTGGCCTCGCCCACCCGCCCTTGAGCTGTCCCATGCATGCCCCCCCGCCTGCACGGCCACCGCCATGCCCAGCGAGCACGGTGGCGCGTGCACGTCCAAGGGGTCGCGCGGCCCACACGGGGCACGGGGCGAGGAGGGCGGGGAGGGGGAGGAGTGGGAAGAGTGGGAGGAGTGGGCGTGAGGGGGAGAGGAGGGCTGGCGAAGGAGTGAGGCGGGGTGGGGAGGGGAGAAGAGGGAGGAGCGGGGGGGGTGGCGGTGGTGGCGGGAGAGCAGCGCGGGCGACCAGAAGGGCTTCCACAGCACGTTGAGTGAGGCGCGCAGGGGGAGCGGCTCCAGCACTGGCAGCTGGTGGGAGGGCGATGGGAGGGGCACGGGTGAAGAAACGAACAGTGAGTACGACGAGAGGTAGGGGGGTACGAACGGCGTGTGAGAAAGTGATGTGTTGAGAGTTGATTTCAATTGCACCCATGCATGTGCCAGCCTGGCTCTATGCCCCTTGTGCACCCGTCCCCACCAACCTGAGAGAGGTCGCTGGCATCAACGGCATCGGCGCACACGGTGGCAGCAGCATGCACTGCCCACATGCGCGTGCTCCACATGTGCACGCACACCCGCACGCCCTCCCCGCCCACCACCACCGCCTCCCTCATCTGCCCCTCGCCTGCATCCACATCCTCCACCACGCGCACCACCACCAGCCGCCCGCCCAACCCAATACGCAGGAATGGCACGAGGGGCGGTGAGGGCAGGCGTGGGCGTGTGTGCGGGCCGGCGCTGGTGGGGTTGATGAGCAGACGGGCGAGCAGCAGCGAGGCGGGCAGCACGTGGGTGTCCAGAGGGGCGTTTAGCATGGGGCCCGCGGGCAGGGCGGGGAAGGCGCGCGGCATGCCCTGCGTGGCAGGGGCGTGGGCTGAGGCGGCAGCAGCAGTGGCGGCGGCAGTGATGGTGGCAGCAGCGGGCGAGCCGTACACGGTGGAGAGCAGAGAGATTGCTCCGGTGAGGGAGGCAGAGGGGGCACACAAAGGCACAGAGGAGGCGGCATCAGCTGCGGGTCGGGTGGGTGCATGCATGGCAGCGTGAGCGGGGTGGTGACATGCGGGTGCGGAGGGGTGCATGACGTCAGCGGGGTTGAGCGGCACGAACCACGAGAGCAGCCACAGCTCCGCCTCGCCCTCGCCCTCCCCCTCCTGCTCCAGCTCCAGCACGATGGGGCGGCACGCGGGGCACGCGGGGCAGGTGGCGTGGGCAGCATGCAGAGCGCAGGGCGAGGGGGAGGGCGGGCAGAGCACGGGGGGCAGGGCGTCGTGGAAGGTGCGGTGGGCGGGGTGGAAGCGGGCGAGGCGCAGCGCCACGGGGGGCAGCCGCCAGGCGAGGGGACCGGCAAGGAGAGGTGCCGTGATGACCAGTTGGTGCACTGCACGCGGGTAGGGGTAGCTGGAGGGAGGGGAGGGAGGGGGGGGTAACAGAAGAGGGGAGGATTGGGATTATAAGCTCATGAATGGCTGGGCAAGAAAAGCAAGTGAGGAGGGTGAGGGCGAGCGAGTATTTCAAGAACACATCCGTTGAACGGTACAGCGATGTGATGCTAGGGGAAGAAAATTCATTAGAATAACTTGCGAGCCGTGAGGAGCCAGTTTGTGACAGACAGGGTCCTACTTCTTGCTCATGCCTGCCCCCATGAACCGCCATGCCACGCACATGCCATGCCACGCACATGCCATGCCACGCACATGCCATGCCACGCACATGCCATGCCACGCACATGCCATGCCACGCACATGCCATGCCACGCACATGCCATGCCACGCACATGCCATGCCACGCACATGCCATGCCACGCACATGCCATGCCACGCACATGCCATGCCACGCACATGCCATGCCACGCACATGCCATGCCACGCACATGCCATGCCCGGCACATGCCATGCCCGGCACATGCCATGCCTGGCACATGCCATGCCCTGAACATACCGCCATGCAATCCAGCCTCCCCCAAAGCAGCTGTTGCTGAGCGGCCTGTCTCTGCTGGCCACGCCCTCCCCCCACGCCACCTGCCCCGCCCCCACCTCCTCCCACCCCGCCACCCCCCCTTGCACCCTCCCCTCCCCCCTGCTGCACTCAAACGCCCCACTGCGCAGGTCGTCACTCGGCGCACCCTGCACCTCGATGCTCGCCTGCACCTCATGCGCCACCCGCACGGACCTCGCTGCCGCCCACGCATCCCGCAGGGACCTGGCGAGGCGGATGAGCGGCAGCAGCACCTTGGGGCAGAGGCGGGGCGACACGAAGTCCGTGTGTATGGTGAGGCGCAGGGGCAAGGGGGTGCCCAGGGCTGTGAGGTGCAGTGCGGTGGAGTGGGCGTGTGAGAGCAGCGTGGGGCTGGAGAGGAGGTCCGTGCTGCGCAGGCGCATGGCCGTGTGGGCCGACTGGAGCTCGATGGTGGGGATGAGGAAGGGCGGCGGGGGGCGGTGCGAAGGGGGGTGTGAGGAGGAGTGGGTGGTGGGTGGTGTGTGGGGGAGGATGATGCGGCCCGGGCAAGAGGCATCGTGGGTGCCTGCGAACCGGCGGATGTCATGCAGTGAGGGCACGAGGGAGAGAGTGAGCGTGCAGCTCTCCAACTCCACTGACACGCCTGCTCCCCCTGCCACACCCTCCCTCTCCTTCTGCTCCCCCTGCTGCTCGCCCGGCTGCTGCGCGCCGTGCTGTTGCGCGCCCCCCTGCCACGGTGGGTGGGGTTCGGAGTCATCGTGAGCGACCAAGTGGGAGGAGATGGAGAGGCGCGGCAGGCGGGACAGCGCTGAGGGGGACGACACACAGGCGGGCGGTGGGGAGGATGGGCACGGCTTGTGAGCGCGGGGAGTGTCAGTGTCAGGGGTGGGTGACCCTTCACAGCCTTGGGATGCTTGGAAGGCTTCCAAGGCTGAGAGCAGCGAGATGAGGGCGCCTCCACTCGCCACCTTCACGCCCCACAGCCGGGACACTGGTAGAGACCCTTTGGGTGGTGCGGCACTGCCCTCTCCCTTCCTAGGGGCTGCCTGCTTCTGTGGTGTGCGTGAGCCGTGTTCGTTGGGCATGCATGCCGGATGGTGGGTGGCAGAGCAGGCAGCAGCGTCTCTCCCTGTGTGCCGCGCAGACAGTTGCTGTGGTGGTGGCGGGGGGGCGCGCAGGCGCGGGAGGACGTCGTACAGCGTGGCGATGACCTGCGGGCGGTGGCAGGTGTGGTGGAGGTGGAGGTGAGAACAGGGAGCAGAATGAAGGGCGAACAATGGTGACTGGTGCAGAGGGAGTGCGGCACGCACGCAGGCATTGAGAATCAGATCGGATGCGCGCGGTGAAAGACAAAGGTGTGGCAGAAAGCTGCACATGAGAATGAGAAGCAAGAACGCGGCAAAGAGGAAAGGTGAGTCATGCATTCCAAACGCAGCAGATGTAACGCTGAAGACACATGCGACACGGGCAGCATCGCGTGGAGAGAGAGGGAAGCGGCAGAGCGAGCAGCGTGCAGGCAGTGACCTCGTGCACGAGGCGAGCGTCCGCGGCCACCATCAGTGGCTGTGCCTCCACCTCCACCCACCACCTCCCCCTCTGCTCTCCCTCTCCCTCCCCTACCCCACCCTGCGCCCTGCGTCCCATTCCCCCTGTGCCCCCACCACACGGCCTCTCCTCCTCCACCACTCTCCACGTCATGCCTGCAGGGGCGCCTGCAGCAGCAGCAGGGGGGGTGGCAGGGTGAGCAGGGCAGCTGGGCTCTGAGTGCTGGTGGGGTGGCATGCCAGGCGGGTGTGCTGCTGCAGGGGAGTAGTGAGGAGGAGGAGTGTGGGCACGGTGGTGAGGGGCGCGTGAGGAAGACGGTGAGAGGGCAGCGTGCGGCAGGGCGAGCAGAGTGAAGCGCTGCTCAGCCGCCCCTGCGGGTGCAAGCCCCGTGGCCCCGGGTGCTCCTGCCTGGCGCCTGCCCTGCCTCACCGCCTCCACTGCCACTCGCCCCACGCTGCCATGCACCACCGGCGGTGCTGCTGCTGCACCAGAGGAACAACCAGGGCGCGCATTGCCTGTGGACGGCAGGAGGGGGGCTATGGCGGCAGAGAGACAGCAGTGGGAGATGGTGGCGTGGAGGTGCGAGGAGGCACGGTGGGCCGAGTGGGCGCCGTGGAAGGCGCTGCTGACTGCCGGGGGGCTGGCTGCCGCCCATAGGGGCACGGCTGCTGTGCACTCCACCACTCGCATGCTGACACGTGTCACTGCACCGCTGGCACCGTTGACGCACCTGCTGCTGCTGCTGCTGCTGCTGCTGCCCCTCTCTGTGCTGCCCTGCCTGCCCTGCCTGCCTTGCTGGGTGACAGCAGCAGTGGTGGCAGGTGGGCGCAGCAGAGGCAGCAGGGCGGTGGTGAGGTGGCGGCGCAGCAGCAGCAGGGTGTCGACCTGGTGGCGCGAGACAGTGACGCCCACCCGCTCCACCTGCAGTGCTCACAGGGACGGGTGTGGACGCAGAGGTGGGGGGGTGAGGAGGAGAATGAGAAAAGCAGACGAAGGGAGGAAACGAGGGGCGTGGGGAGATATGAGGGGAGGAATAGCAGGAAAGGGAGGCAGCACCCACCAGCAGGTCAAGAGGCCGATTCTCATTGCATGGCCCTCCAGTGTGCTCAGTGCACTGACACTGCTGCCCGCGATCATGCTGACATCGCTGCTGCTGCCTTCCTTCTTCCTGCCTCACCTGCTCGCACGGCCCTGCCTTTCCCAAACCCCCCACCGTCACTCCCTCCACCTGCACCAGCGAAGCCACGGTTTCTGAGCCAATCGCACGCAGCCACGTGTCCGTCTGTGTGCTCCCTGCAGCGCCGTGGCTCTCCTCTAGCGTGGCAAGGTGCGTGGGGGCAGGCGAGCAGGGCAGGCACGCCGTGCCCAGGTCCACCCACACGCGCTGCACGCACACCACAGGGGGCTCTTCCCCACCCTGCTCACCCCTCTGTGCCTCCGCCTCCCGTGCACCGCTCCCACCCCGCCCCTCATTCACAATCACACATAGTGACAGCCCTCTCATGCCTGCCCGCCCCACTGCCACCCACACACCATGCCCCTCTACGCCCTTTCCCCTCGCCCCAACACCTCCCCCTTCACCCCCACTGCAACCCCCCCCATTGTGTGCGCTGCCACTGCTGTGGCCCCTGGCGCCCCTCAAGGGGCCTGCCACAATGCTCACACTGCCCCGCTGCACCACTGCCTGCACCCATCCCACCCCACACATGATCTGTGCTACTGCCCCCATTCCCCCACCTGCCAGCTTTCCCTTCCCTCCTCCCTCCTCTCCCCCTCCACCTCTTCTGTCTGCTCCCCTCTCCCCACTCGCCCCTGCTCCTCTGCCTTCTCCATCCCACCTGTCTCCACCGCTCTCCACCTCTATCTCCTGGGCTCTCACCACACTGCCAGCAGCTATTAGCCCGTGTAAGTGCACAAGAGGATCCGCCCACACCACCAGCATGACGTCACCCAAGTGCAGCGTGACGTCAGCACCACTTGCAGCAGCGCTGGTGCCTGGGTGGGCGTGCTGCGCCGCAGCGGCTTGAGTGGAGGGTGGCAACATGGCAGGGCGCATGGGGGGGCGTGTGCCGATGGATGAGTGGAAGGACGCCGATAGGGCTGCTGAGGCGGGGGGTGACGGCTGAAGGGAGAGGCTGGGCGGAGCGCGGCAGGGCGGAGCGGGTGGGGATGTGAGGGATGGGTGGGGGATGGGAGAGACGCAAATAGAATGAGAAGCACCGGGTACAGTGTAGGTGGTGACATCGGAGTGGCGGACCAACACACAGTGGACACAGCGGAGGAGATTTAGAGGTCGTGTGATGGCAGCACACACACACACACCTGAGTGCATGCAGTGCCTCCACACACACCTGAGTGCATGCAGTGCCTCCACCGATAGAGACTCAACGGACAGCTTCACCCACGTGTGCCCTCCATGCGCCTGCCCTCGCAGCACCGCCTGCTGCAGCCACGCCTCTCGCAGTGTTGGGCTGGCGGGCTGAGAGCGGCCGCTGCGCCATCCCCCTGCCAGCACCACACTGCACGCCCGCACATGGCAGAACGCCCCCACCTGCTGCTGCATGTGCTGCCAGCACCACGGGGAGTCAGTTGAGGGCTGTGGCGCTGCTGGTGGTGATGAGGATAAGGATGGCATGTGGCTCCACATTGACATCACCTCAGCTGCTGCCTCCAGGACGCGTGCGTGCTTAGCCACGCCCCGCAGCTTGCTTGCTGGCATGGCTGCTGGCCCGGCTGCTGCAGCCTGTGCTGTTGCAGTTGACCCTGCCGTGCTGCCTGGTGGTTCTGCTACTGATGCCGTGGCGGCACCAACGCCACGTGCACTGCAGCTCACATCTCTGAGCGCAGCAGCAGCCATGGCCAGCAGAGAGGCGGCCTGTGGGCGGGAGACATGCAGAGAGACGGCATCCAGGCTGGCTTCCACCGTACCCTCGCTTCCCCCCCTCGCCCCATGCTTCATGCCCCCCTCCCCCATCACAGCAAACCCGCCCTCAATCCCTTCCCCACCCCCACTGCTACGCGTTCCACCAGCAGCCAATTCAGGCCGCACAAATGATCCAGCTGGCGGTGCTGCTGCTGCCAGCCGTTGTGGCGCGGCTGGTGCTTGAGGTGACGAAGCGGCAGCAGCAGCAGCAGTGGACCACGTGCAGTCGACGCGGAGAGAGGCCGGGTGGAGCAGCGTGGCGGGGCACAGCTGCCATGGGCGGATGGCAGAGGGGCGCGCAGGGAGGTCAGGAATGGGGGGGATGCCAGACAAGGCAAGGTGAGGGGAGGACAGGCGGGGAGAATCCAGACTCTACAAGAATGCAGCTGTAGCCTTGCAGGCTTGATGGAGCTGAGGAGGGTAGACGTATGAGATGAAGGGAGTGGTTACGAGGGGGGGAGGAAGGGAGGGAGGTACCTGGGCGTTGTCCAGAGAGTGCATGTGTGCCTGTAGCGTCACTGTCACCCGCGCCCTGCTTCCCTCACACGCCCTGCCATCGTCCCCCACCCATCTCGCTGGCCTCTTCCACACCGCCACTCGCCCCGTGCTCACACTCACACCCTCGCCCTCACCCTCACCCTCTGCCCCCCTCTGCAGCTTCTGCTCCAAGCCGCAGCTTCCCCCGCTACTGCTGCCAGCCATGCGCACAGTCACCCCGTCCCCTCCCACCTCGGCGCTGCTCACCCGCGCCACCCACCCCAACCATCCACCACCGCTGCCTGGGGACGAGGGAGTGGGGGCGAGAGGCAGTGGGGCTCTGGGCTCCTCTTGTGTAAGCCACCCGTCCCCTCTCACAGCCCCTCCCACTTCCCCACCTCCACCACCACGGCATGCCTGCACGTCCTGCCACCACCGCAGCACAGTGCTGGCCATGCCCGGCCGATAGGAGACTGCCACGAGTCCCACGTGTAGCGAGAGGCTGACGTCAGCAGTGAGCCCCAACGGCCCAGCAGCCTGCGAGGATTCAAACGCCTCTGCCACTCGCACCCCACGCCACCACACTCCCTCCACACTCCACCCCTCCTCACACTCCCCCACACTCTCCCCCTCCTCATCTTCCTTCCCTCCCCGACTCGCACTCCCCCCTGCTGCCCCTTGTCTTCGCGCCCCGCGAGCACCCGTGTGTTGCTCTCCCCCTGCTGCTGTGTGTGCGGGCAGCACGGCACCCAGGGGGGCGAGGGAGTGCAGCAGCGGCGCCTGCAGGCTCCCATACGACCCCACCGCGCCCTCCCCTCGGCCCCCCACTGCTGTTGCCCCTGCCTCGCCTGCCTGCTGCCGCGTGTGCAGGCGGAGAAGAGGACGGAGAGAAGACGGTATTACTGCTGCGGGATCCGAGCCACCAGAAGGAACATGTGTATCGGCACCTGAAGAGACACCTGAAGCGCTGCTCCCTGAAACTGCCACAGCCACTGCCACGGGCCCCACCTTCACACTCGCTGCCTGCACCGCCCGGCCCCGCCCCTCCGCCTCCACCAGCACGGCCCCGAGCCTGCACTCCAGCTTCGGATAGCAGGCTGGGCCGGCAAGGCCCAGGTCAAGGCTTGGAGGTGCAGGTGCTCCGTGGCATTCGTGTGCAGTGAGGCCGGCGGCATGGCCCTCACAGCACACGGATGCGCCACCACTGCCATCCATGCCGTCGCCCGCACTGCTCACAAGAGACAGCTCAGCGCCCTCTAGCAGCGCAGCCACGGACCAATCAGTGGCTGCCAAGTCAAAGTGCACACCCGCCTCGTACCCCGTGGCCCACTCCCAGATCTCCTCACTCTCCAAGCCACCACCCGCTGCTGCAGCAGCAGCAGCAGCTCGCACTGACAACGCACTTTGCCCCGTGGCTGCCACGGCAGCGCCGCCGCTGCTCGCCTCATCGTCCTCTTCATCCTCAAACAGCTGCTGCACCCACCCAATCGCGCGCCCCATGCTGTGAAACAATCCCCGCTTCTGCTGGCCCCCCTGCTGGCCCCCCTGCTGCCCCCCCTGCTGCCCCCCCTGCTGCCCCCCCTGCTGCCCTTCTTGCTGCAGCCCATCCATCATTCCACCCGCCCTCTCCTTTGCTGCCTTTTCTCCCTCCTCACTTGCTGATACCAGAAGCTTCTCAGCTGCTTCTCTTGTCCCACCCATCGCATCCCCGCTGTCACCTCTGCCCTTGCCATGCCCGCCTCCCTCCTCCGTTCCACTCCCCTTCTCTTCCACGCCCCCTCCAACTGCTTCCCCCGCTCCCTCCGCCCCCCCTACTCCCTGTGCCCCAGCGCCTCTCCCCCATGCGTGCCGGCATGAGTGTGCGGCGCTGAGCAGAGCAGCGAGGTGGGAGGGCGAGGCGGAGAGGGCGAGGGGCAGCAGGCGCAGGGAGAGGCAGGCGCGCTGGGGCACGGCAAGAGCAACACAGGGCGGGGTGATGGCGATGCGAGAAGTGAGGGACACAGCGGAGAGGAGCGGCACTGACGGGAAGCGTGTGGAGAGGGGGGAGTGTCGTGGGCGTGAAGGGGGGGTTGGGTTGGGTGGCAAATAACAGAGGGAGTGGGTTTGGGGCGAGGGACGTGAGTATCGCGACGAGTGGGTGAATGGTGAGAAAGATTGATCCCAAACGGCATGCACTGGCTCAAGGACTTGCCGCAGATACAGTGGCATACAAGGTGAGGCGAGCGATGAGTGACAGATGGGGGAGCAGAACGGGGACTAGCGCCTGCCTGACAGGAAAATGGCGTGCATGCTATCATGAGGGCAATTTGCCATAGCCTTGCTCCACGGACCTTGGCTGGCCTGACACGTGGCGTTGTGTGATTGGCTAGATGTACTTGCGACATCCACCGACAGGCCAGTAACTTCCAGAACCTTCCTCACGCCTTCCTCTGGTGGCTGGGAAGGATGTGAGGAGAGTTGAATGCGCGTGAGTTGCAGGCAAGGCGACGAGGGCACAGGGGCGCTTGGAGGGGGAGGGGTGCAGCACGATGCTGAGCAGATCAGATGCGCGGGGAGGCATGGGGATGCATTGTGCTATACGTGACGTGCAGTGCTATGGGCTATGGGTGGCATGTCACGCATGCTGCCATGCTGTCACACCTGTGCGAGTGAAAGATGGGCATGAATGGATAGGAGAAGCAGCACAGCAGGAGGGTGGGAGCAGCGCGCACCACAAAGGCAGGGGTCCAGTCAGGTGCAGTGGAGTGGAGGAGGAGCTTATCGCAGCGCAGAGACAGCACAGCAGACGGCGTGGAGTACTGCAGGAGCACGTCCGTTACAGTCACACTGGCGTTCAGCACGGTGTGCTGCAGGAACGCCCGCAGCCCCCCTAGCGCCAGCAGCTCCGCCAGCTCCTCCCTCGCATGCCCCGCCCCACTGCTGCTGCTTCCCTGCGACGACTCTGAGTCCGTGTCGCTCCCACCACCACCGCCCTCCTCCTCCTTCCCTGCTCCATCGCCCCCCCTCTCGCCCCCGCCACCGCCCCGCTCACCCTCTTTTGGCCCCATCCCCTGCTGCCCCCCAGCGCCCCCCCCACTTTCCCTTGCACCCTCCTCCCCCCCCTTGCCACAGCAAATCCCTCCACTCCACACCCTCTCCTTCCCCTCCGTCCCCTGCCCTCCAACCCCCCCTCCCCCCGTTGCCTCCACGTGCACGCGCACGCCATGCAGCGCCACGGCCACGGGGTGCGAGCCCAGCGCGGCCCACGGGATGCTCACCCGCAGCTCGCCCACCCACGCGCGCCGCACCGCCACGCGCACGTGAGGGGGGACTGGCAGAGGGTGGGCGCGGGGGGGTGGGGGGCATTGAGGGGGTAGGGGAAGGTTCTGTGAGCATGAGGGCGGTGTGGGGGGAATCAGTGCAGGTCATGCACCCGCTTTCGCCGCACAAATGTGTGCAAAGCAGGGAGTGAGGAAGAGCAAGATGTAAGAGGAGTGAGGAGGGGCGATGGGGAGTTGTGGTGCGGAACGCTGGCAGAGCCATGCAAAGGGGGCCAATGTGATGTGAGGGCTTCAAGCGTGGCCATGCAAAGGGGGCCGATGTGAGGGCCTCAAGCGTGGCCATGCAAAGGGGGCCGATGTGAGGGCTTCAAGCGCGGCCATGCAAAGGGGGCCGATGTGAGGGCCTCAAGCGCGGCCATGCGAAGACGACACCGGCTCCTCGCGCCTCCTCTTTGCCTTGGGCCTACTGAACATGTCGCCACTCCGTGCGACGCACCTGGCAGGTTGAGCTCGAAGTTTCTGAGAGTGAGGGAGCCGCCCGAAAGCGACACGCTGAGGTCGGACGCCGCCGCGCCGTCGGCATCGCGGATGTACGCGCGCAGCACGCGCAGCAGCACCTGCGGGCGGCAGTGGGGCGGCAGTCAGAGGGGCGGGAGGCCGAGAAGACGGACGCAGAAGGCAGGGAACAAGGTGGCGGTGGTGAACGAGGGAAGGAGACGGAAGAGAGAGCGCGGCGAGGCGGGGGAGCAGGGTGGGCGGGAGAAGGGGACGGCAGGAGCGGATTCGGCGGAGATGGCGGGTGGGCGACGGGCGGGAGGAGGACGAGCGAGCGGAGTCATGCGATAGGAGCGGAGAGCGCGCACCTGCGACATGAACGACGACGCCATGGCTCCCTGAGCGATCCGTTACAGCATCACACGAGTGGCCGTGCGAGCGGGATTGTGTCGGTCATGTCTCTGGACAGTGGCGGGTTTCCCATTGGATTTCGTGTCTGCTAGTTTTGTTGATCAACGGAAGGTCTGGTGTGTGTGAAACATGATTTCGTGTCTGCTAGTTTTCCCCGGTACAGGATGATCCGGGAATATATCATTCAATTCTATTCCAAAGAGAATAAGTTACAGTAGCAATTTCCAAGCTGAAACGAAAGCGGCGTACTAAAAAAACACTTGGTGAGGTTTGTCATTGTAACGATGTGAAGTTTTATGAGAAGGCATTCCTGTATGCTGCAGGAGCCGACTCTACCGAGTACGAAGTTGAGGAGTCAGAAGAGCCGAAGCGACGCAGCAACCGTCAGACCAAGACCGATGCAGGCAGAAAATTTTGAAGTGAAAAGAGCGGGAACAGGTTTTTAACGGGTTCCCGCGCCGCACGGTTTTGAATTCAGTTGTAATAGGGGAATGTACCCCTTAGAGTACATGGCTAGTCTAGGTCCTTTCGTATTCTCTTGTACTCTTATATGAACTCGATGTATGCATGCTATTATCAACTCAGTCATTTACATTCACTCTGACCTGAGATTCAAACTTCCGCTGCAACACTACTTCGCGATCAACCCTGAGCGATCCTTTGCTAAGTCCCACTTGGGATTGTAACATGGTATGAGAGCTACTCAGGGATTCTTCGCAACTTCACTTCCGTGAAATTCGCCGAATCAAGACCTGGCGAGCGGCACACGCTCCAAGACCAAGATGGCCGAAGGATCCGGAGGCCAAGCAAATCTGACGCCTGAAGGACAACCCAATCCAGCTGCGACAAGTGAGGCGACAACCACGATCGGCACTGCCGCCCTCGAGCAACTTTTCGCTCGACTTTCAACTATGGAGAAAGAACTCCAAGAACTGCGCAAAGGCAATGCCGGAATCTCTTCCCAACCAGCACAACCTGGACAACCGGCTGAGAAAAGCCGTGATACCGCTGCGCACACCTTCTCCCTCGACACAGACAAATCAGCAACAACTGCCCCCCGTCCAAGTGATGAGGCTATCAACTCTGCGCAAACACGCGTCCTCAGCGTTTCAAAGATTAAGACTACTGCCGCGTTTGACGGCAAGGTACACATAGAGTTTTGAGCTGGAGCTCCTCCTACAAACGGCGCAGATCTACCATTACTTCGACGGCTCCTACCCTAAACTGGTGGAAAACACCGACGTCGCCAGGGCTCAGTACTACAGTGAGTCCCTCATGGCTTACAGTGTGCTGCTACGCAACATGACGCATGCGGAACAACTCAACATACGCTCCTACAAAGGGAGCGACGCTCCAGCAATGGAAGCTTGGAAGCACCTCGTTGAAGTTTACCAGCCGAAGGATTCGGTCACCGCCAGCAGGCTTCTCCAGCAACTCCTGGAGATAAAGATGGGGCACGGGGAGAAGGCAAATCCATATATTAACCACTGTCGCAACATCCGTGACCAGATCACGAAGCATGGGAGTACGATCTCAGAAGAGATTTTCGTCAATATAGTCCTTCAAGGACTCGGGCCTGAGTGGAAGCCCTGCAAGGCGTTACTCCGACAGCGAGGAACAATTTCAGAAGCCGCGCTATGCGCCGCACTCCTATCCGAACAGCAGGATATGGACTCGAGCAGAACAAGCTCCGCGCCGCGCCGAGAGCGCCTCGCCTTCTACACGGACAACCGAGAAGAGCGACGACAACCAAGGCGCCATTACTGCAAAATATGCAAAGTCTTCGGACACTCAACGGATAGATGTAAATCCCGATCCAGCTACCGCCACCGAAATTCCACTCACCACAACAACTGGGTCGGCCGACAAGACGCTCGTCATCCTCAACCTCAGCATCAGCAAGCTCGTCCTCCTGCGCAACACCAGCAAAATCAAGGACCACACTCAGGAGCTCCCAGGAATGTCATCGCAAACATGGCGACACGACGCCGGCGCACCAATGAACCTGACGAGGAGAACGAAGTCCAAAGAAGACTTTTGGAACCAGAAGAGGGATGGAATAATCCCTTCACCGAGGATCACTACTACGTGCACGATAACGACGAGCAGGACTGGAACCTTCCAATCACGCTGCGGGAAAGCCCGCCTCACAAAAATCAGCACTACGTACCAGTGGGTTGGAAGGAGGACGAAGATCCTTACTTCCACAGGCGCTTCAAGACCACCCTGGTAACTCCACGATTGGCGCTGCTGCTGCGCCGTAACAACACTGACAATCACAACACCTGGTACCTGGACAGCTGCTGCGGCCAGCACATGGTGGGGTCCACGCGGTATGTCTCTAACCTAAGTCGCGCCCCTGCAACTTATGTCACCGTCGCCAACAACGAGCAGCTGCGCGCCAACTCACAAGGACTTGCCGTCCTGCAAGCAAGAGATAGCAACACGCACATCTCGTTCAACGACGTACTCTACATACCGAACCTGCGCTTCAACCTGCTCTCCACTGGACAGCTCCGCGATTGCGGCGTCATCATTCACACGGACCTCGCGACGCGCGATCTCATCCTCACCTACGCTCCCCCAGACACTCCTCCTGAGGCATTCAAGTACCTCGGACGAGCTCGCTCCATCAATGGGATCTATATCCTAGACTTCGACATACCTCCCTGTCAAGCCTCGTCGGACGAGCTCGTGGATCTTGTCCCCCTCGAGTTCGCTTTCATGAACAAGGAGTCTTAGGAGCATCCGGATGGAAGACCGTGGGTTCGCGGAAGCCCTCACCCGCGTGAAATCAATCTTCACGAACCTGACGCCCACGGACTGTGCACCACCTGTCACACACCAACCGCAAGTCGAACGGAGCAAGTGGAAAAGGAGCAAGCGGCAATTCAGGAAGCAGAAAGCGCTGAGATAGAACCAACAGGCATGACTGAAGAAGAACTCGCCATATCATCACACCGCATATTCGGTGAGCCAAGCAAGAAATTCGGCCAAGAACAGCAGGAGAGACCAAGGCCTTACTCGAACACCCTACGATTCGTCCTCGAAGCCAACGCGCGCACTCTCGACGAAGAAGGACGTCCGCGCCCGTACACTCGCGAAGTCTACCGCCGCGAGATTGACCCTGCCTGGAAAGATCTTGACGCACCAGAGGAGCTGAGCGTCAAAGAAGAACAGGAGAAGGCCCAAGCGGAGAAGCGGCAGAAGCTGTATGAGGAGCGCATCGCGGCAGGATGGGACCCAGACTCTGCGCGCGGAGGATGGGGCAACGAGCCCGCTGATCCAGAAGAAGGCGCAACATGGGGTTCCGCAACTGGAGCATGGGGAACCGGCACGGTCACCACAGGAGGATGGGGAAACAACGAGCCTGACGAAGGGGAGCTCACGCAAGAGGAATTGGAGGAAGCTGAACAAGAAATACAAGCTGAGCGCGGCAAAGCATCACCTTGAGTAACCATTCCCCTCGGTCGACCCCCTCGCACTGACGAACCACCTCGCTCACCTCATCACTGGCGTGATCTTTGGTCGGAGATTGAGGAGGGGAATGTACCGCCAACACCTCCGCGAGACTCACTCGGTCCAATCTCCCGCCCAGATCCGTACGCCCGCTTCATCGAAGGCACCACGACCCCGCTCACGATCATTCCCGATCGCGAACTTCTTGCCCTGTATCTCTCAACGGCACCTGCAGAAGGGGAAGCAACGGCAGAAGCAGAAGCAGAGGAGGAGAACAACGAAGCAGAACCAGGAGAAGAGGAAGAACCCCCACTCCAGATCCCAGAACTCACAGCAGAGGAGGCAGCAGAGTACCACACCCGCTACAAGCGCACCTCCGGCATCCGTGCCGAGGATGACCTCTGGCACCAGCGGATGGGACACCCCTCGCGCCAGACACTCGCCAATTGCCTCAGTGCAAAAGTTTTTCCGCGAGGAGCACTGCTGCGCCCCGACGGGACGGAGTTACAACACACCACCCCCCATCCAACCACTTGCACTGTCTGCCCCACAGCCTCTCTCACACTGCCTATCCCTCTCTGGAGCCAAGCACCAACCGCTACAAGAAATTGGAAAAGGTGTACAGCGATTTCATCGTACTCACCTGCGACGGACTCAACGGCGAAAAGTACACGCTGACCTTCATCGCCGCCTACTCACGCCACGTGTGGGTTGCCAATGTTGACGCCCGCTCCAAAGCCCCGGAGGTGTTCCGTATCTTCCTCGCGCACGCGCAGCGACAGTCGGGAAGGAAACTGAAGATCTGGCAGAGTGATGGGGCAAAATAATTTCGCAGCCATGAACTGGAGAGCGTGTTCACCGAGAAGGGGATTAAGCATGAGATTTCCCTTCCCTATGCTCACCAGCAGCAAGGCGTTGCTGAGCGGGTCAATCGGACCCTCATGACTAAAGTTCGCGCCATCATGAACCAGTACGGCCTGCCAAAGAAATTTTGGCCGTACGCCATGAATCACGCGGTGCGCCTGCACAACCTCCTCTCCACCACCGCCAACAGGGATAACGTGTCACCCCACATGAAGTGGACCGGTTCAAGGGGAGATCCCTCCATGCTGAGGGTTTGGGGGTGCATGGTGCAGTATCGGCCCACTTCGGCCACAATCGGCAAGTTCGTTCATCGTGCGCGCTAGGGAGTTCATCTAGGACTCAGCCACGAGCACAAAGGATGGCTCATCCTTGACATGGACAACCAGGAAATTGTCCCTGCGCGTGACATTCGTTTCTACGAACGGCTCACCTTGACGCAGTGGATCGAGGACGAACGCCGTAATCAGGCACGCGGCTACGCCAACAGCGGCCGCAGCCTCGCGACCCCTGAAGATGAAGCAGCAGCAGCAATTCTGGACCGCGACGACACCGACGAACATCCCAGCATCCCCCCTCGCCCGTGCGACGACGATGACGATGACGACCCCGCGCCAGGACCATCACGGCGCCAGACAGAACCAAGCACCCCACCACCCGG